CGTACCAGATTCCCTTGTGAACAAGAGTTTTGTTTTACACGGCTGCTTATTTGTTACTGACTCTGATACAGAGCTGAACAAAAGGCTTGCTATGCTCTTTGTAATACTATAATTTGTTTGTGAATCTGCCTCTTTTCGGTGTCACTTCCTGAAATAACAGAAGAAAACCCAGAAGAATACGACCAAGGCTGCAGTGGATTTGCATAGCAATGATCTGAGAAATTTTTGAAACATTTTTTTCAGAATAGACATGATGCAGACACAGCGACATACTTGTGCAGTGATATATTGCAACAGGATGTAAATCCTATTGGTTTTAGTTGGGATTTAGTCCAAGCCACAGGAGTGCATGAGCACAGAAGCATAGCTTTTGATAGGCACTTCCTACTCTTGTAAAATAATGTAAAAGTGCACAATGTTGGGTGTATAAAGCCCAGCAGAGATAGGGTTAAAACTAGGAAATTATCATTTTGGCTTGAGTTTAAAAAATAGCACAAAGTTTTGAATATTTCTAACTGTGACATTTAAATTCTGAAGCCAGTATGCATTTTCAATAAGTAGAATCTGTTGTATTTACTAAACTTTTATTTTAGCATATTTCAGAACAAGCAAGTAAATAATATTAATTAGGATAAACTTGCCCCACTTATTCTAAATGGCAGTAAATCCAGTGATGAAGAAAAAGAGTCTATCTTGTAATACTGAAATGCCGTGCCTTTGAATAAAAGCAAACAGCAAAATGGTTATAGCTTCTCAGTATGTACAATTCTATTTTTATAATGGTACAACTGACAAGTTACTAAAGTCAAATAGCTATAAAAATCTTAGAGATAGTCCTCTTTTTTTCTCATTACTGAATTAAAAATATTAGATACATTTAAGATTAGTTGCATGTAGCTAAAATATAAAAATTAATCTTAATTTCTATCTAAATCACAGTTTGGGATGTTCTGTTTTATAACCCCAAGAAAAATTAGCTCACTTAATACCTTGGTTCTATCTGTAAATTACATTTTCACTATACAGTAATCTTAAAACTAGTTAATTTTCCTTTTAATACTCACAGATAATACTATCAGTATATAGTAGAGTGATACTAAGATAAATGGATTATAGGGGATTTCCAAATATTCATACCTAAGTAACATCTGGAGCTAAGCTTGACTCCTAGTGACTATATGGCAGTGTTTCTCAACCTTGGCAATTTTAAGAAGTGTGGACTTTAACTTCCAGAATTCTGAGAGCTGAAGTCCACACATCTTAAAGTTGCCAAGGCTGAGAAATACTGTTATATGGCATAGCCATGATGTCTTCTTGGTTAACCATATAAAGCAGTTTGCCTTTGTCTTATTCTGGTAAAAAAATTTTTTAATTTATTAGCTGAGTCTACAATCCTGAAATTTCTAATGATCTCCCATTCAAGTATTAACCAAATCCAATTTTACTTAGCTTTTTCCAGTTCAGACAAAGTGGTACTATAACATCTATGTACAGCATTGGGCATAACTAACTAAACAGCATAACAAATTCCATGAAACTAAAATAAACTACAAACAAATTTCTCATTTAGTAATAGAGGCAGATTTTACTCTGGAAGTATCGTTTCTTATTCAATACATAGTATTTTTAAGAGAGATCCCTGGAGCATGGCCTAAAACAGTGTTGCTCAACCTCAGCAACTTTAAGAAGTGTGGACTTCAACTCCCAGAATTCCCC